CAGCCTGGACCAGACTTTCTAGAAACTTCTCCAGAGAGACGTACCCCAAGAAAAATGGCTGTGAGGCAAAGGAAGGAAATAAGTCATTGTAAAGAAAGAAATGTAATTCTTCCGTATCAGATCCAAAAAGGTCTTACATTCCGGAGAGAGAAGCCACGCAGTTTAGCTGGGCGATGAATCAGGTTCCTGCAGCTCTCAGCTCTCAGCCCGGGACTCCGTCGGGCTCTCGCTGTAGAAGCTAAGGAGAAGCACACACCTTCCCAGGCGGGGCCCCGGCACCACCCGCCCCAGCGGCCCCCGGGCTCTGCCTCGTCACACAGAAGGGCTGCACAGTCGCCGCCAGCCGGCTCTCCCCCGCCTGGCTGGAGCCGTCGGCCGCTTACCCGTGTGACATCCGTGTTTGTGGCCAGCCCGACGGCAGGGGTCAGGAGGGGTGACACAGCTTGCGTGTCTGCAGCGGGGCCCCTCTGCAAAGGGTCGTGCCCTCCCCCACAGGGTCAGGCGTCTCGGACATTCCGCACACGAGCCCACAAGCCTCATCCTGTGGAGCCCGATGACCGGACGTGGGGCAGAGAGGACGCTGTGGGGGAAGGCCCAGAGGGTGGTGGAGAGGTGGACCCCATGCTGGTCGGGGCAGCTGCGCTGACCCCCCCACACCTGCCCTGAGGGTCAGCCGTGCACCAGCAGGGGCCCGGCCTCTCGTCCAGCCTCTCCTGTGGGAGGCCCTCTGCCGTGGGGCCTCCTGACGGCTCAGGGAAGGAGGCTTCTTTCTGGAATTAGTGACTGTTGTGAGGAGCCCATCCACGGTCCCCACGCATGTCCACGTCCTGCTCCGGGGCTGGAACGTGGCCTTAGAAGCCAAGGGGCACTTTGCAGATGTGATTTGAAGCAGGAGCCGTGAGACGGGGATGGTCTGGGGGCGCGTGGGGTCACAGGCGTTCCTGCAGGGGTGGGGGGGGGGCTGCCGGCCGCCCCCTCTGGAGGTGGAGGAAGAGGAGTCCCCCCAAGGATGCGGGAAGGCGGGGGCCACGCCCCCCCCAAGCCCGGGCAGGGTGGCCCCTGGTCTTCGCCCTCCAAGCCTCGGTGGGACTTTGGGCTCCAGGCCTGAGACAGAGGCGTGTTGCTTGATCTCCACTGAAGGGAGATTTGTGAGGCTCCCGGGAAGCTGCGTCTGTGGGCCTGGCGTGATTCATGGGGCTCCCCTGAAGCAGGAAGCCCATCGGGGGGGCCCGGGCGGCAGGAACATCAGCCCACCTGCCCCGGGGCCCCGGCCCAGCGTAGCCTCGGAGGTGGTCCTCACACCGGCGCCAAGGTGGGGACGATGCCCCCTTGCTCACCAAAGGGAGGGGTGCCCGTCAGGGACCAGAGCCTGCGCCGCGAGCAGGACTTCCCGCTGGAAAAGCCCACAGGGTCTGTCACAGGGTCCGTCACAGGGTCCGTCACAGGGTCCATCACAGGGTCTGTCACAGGGTCCGTCACAGGGTCTGTCACGGGGTCCGTCACAGGGTCCGTCACAGGGTCTGTCACAGGGTCCGTCACAGGGTCCGTCACGGGGTCCGTCACAGGGTCTGTCCCGCGGAGGCCGGTGTGCGAGCTGCCAACACGGCCGTGCAGCAGGGCCTCTTCCGGGAAAGGGCGCTTGACCTCACGTCAGACAAGCTTTCAACCGGAACAGAAAGCACCACTCCTTGGACTCACGGCCCAGAAAGTTCTGTCCTGTTTTCTAAACGATGCTCTCTAGTGTCCAAGTCCTGCCCGTCACCGCAGAGAACTTTCCGGGGTGGGGGAAGCGCCCCCCGAACCAGGCCCTGGCACCACAGCGCCATCCCGGGCCGCAGGCTGCCCCGGCGCCGAGGCACCCCAGGGTGGGGTGTCCGCTGAGCACAGGAACCGCCCACACGGGACCCTTCCGCAGGGCGGGGGGCCCGGCTGCAGGCCCCCTGCCCCCGCTGACCTCGGTGCCCCGTCGATGTGCAGGGGAGGGGGGCCCCCAGGGCGTCCGAGCCTCTTGGTCCCTCCAAGCCCGGGGCGCACTGGCTCCACGTGTCCCTGAGCGGGTGGGAGCCCATGTCGCTGGAGCGCAGCTGCCCGTCCCCAGGGAGGGCCAGCCGGCCAGGGCGGGCTCCCTCGGGGTCCCCTGGGTGGGCCGGCCAACCTCAGGGTGTGACAGAAGGGAGGGTCCCAGGGGAAGGGACCCGCAGGCCAGAGAAGCTGCCCCCGGCCCAGCAAGTCCTGCCGCGGGCAGAGGCCCCCACGGCGGCTTCTCCTTGAGCTGTGGCCCCCGGTGAGGTTCCTGGGCTGGAAACGCTGCCCCACCCCCACCCCAGGGCCAGTGGGCCCGTCAGCGCGGCTCGGTCCCTGTCACCAGGCCTAGGGAGGCGGTGGCAGCCACCACCAGCTGTGGCCCGGGACTGTGGGGGTCAGGCTGCCCCTCCGTCCCTGGGGGTCAGGCACGTGGTGGGGACAGAGGCTCCGCCGTGCTGGGTGTCTGTCGGCCCAGGGGCGGGGCTCGGGAGGCCGGGGAGAGAGGCCCGTGGCCAAGCAACGTGGAGGAGGACGGGGCACCGCCGGCTGCCGGGGCCTCTGGCACCGCCAGGCGGGCAGCACAGGGCACAGCCGCCGCGCAACAGTTGATGTCGGTTGGTCCGCTGAAGTCTGCATGGACAGACAGACAGACAGACGTGTGGGGACACAGGACAGGCTTTGGTCTGCAAAGTGCTGGGAGCAGGAGCCGCGGGGCCCCAGGTGGGGGGGGGGGGCAGGGCGGGCAGGGAGGTTCCAGACACCACCCCGGCTCCCCCGCACTCGTGCCCACGGGCTCCCCCCCACACCTCCCTCTGCACCCGGGCCAGTGCTCTAGGTCCAGCCCCAGGATCCTTCACACGCCCCGCCAGCCGGGCGGGGCGAATCCCCTTGCAGCCTGGGTCCCGTCTCACGGAGGACATGGGCCCCAGCCGCGCAAGGGCCAGGCCGGCCTCACACCCGCTCACAGCCGGCCTCGCGCTTGGCCGCAGGCTGTGCTCTGGGGTCCTGCATGGAGCCCCGCGGCTCACGTGCCGGCCTCGGGCACCTCCTGCAGCGAAGCTGGACGGGAGGGATGCATCATCGGGGGCGGGGCTGGGGGGACCCAAGGGGGCCGAGAGGTGTTGGTGGGAGGCCGGGACGGCGAAGCGGTGCCCAGCCCAGGTCAGACGCGGCCTCACCTGGGGCGGGACTGACACCCGCCGCCCTCCGGGGCGCTCTCTCCAGGCGACCAAGCCCGCCCTTCCACCTGCGGGGCTGGAGGGGTGTCGCGGGGCCGGGCCGGGCAGGACAGCCTGGGGCATCGGGTGGCGCACGGGTTCCGGAGTCCTGGACTCTTCCGAGCCAGCACCTGGATGTTGGAAGCGCTGGAGGCCACCGGCAGCGTTTCCTGTAATCCTGGTTAATGAGAGACCGAGCGAGGGGCAGGGGCTTCTGGGAGGCCATACTTCCTGCTGGCGGTGGGCGGCGCTGTCATGTGGTCCCCAAATGCCCGGGATCAGGCGACCAGCCTGGAGCAGGGCAGCTGGGCGGCAGAGACCTGGCTCCTGAGACCACCGTCTGCCCTTTGATCTGTGGTTTCCCAGGTGAGCCCCGGCCTCAGGTGGAGAACGGGGTCGCTGCGGGTGATCTGGGTGCCGTGAGCGGCTCTCGTGTTCAGTGTGCGTGGGGACCCGAGGGTGACAGGGACAGCCTGCTATGTCCCAGGCAGCTCCCTGCCTCCGGGTCCTCAGGGGGACAGGTGGGGCATGACTGGAGCCCGCCCCGTGCCGGCCTGAGGACGCCCCACCACGCCCGGTGCATGGGCAGCGGGGGCAGGGCCGACTCCAGGTGGCCCCATCAGGGTGGTCTCTGCAGGGGGAGCCGGGGAGAGGGTCCCCGTGAGCGAGGACTGCTCGTGCCCAGCCTGGTGGGACCGAGAGTTTGAGGGACAAGCTAAGAGGCCGTGGCGAGGCCAGCAGGGGTGGGGCAGGGGCGTGCGGGGCGGGCAGGGTGGAGTGGCACCGGGCCGGGTGCCCGGGCAGCGTGGGGGCAGGGGCTGCCTCTGTGTGGAGAGAGGAGGCTGAGTGGGATTTCTGACGGCCTCCGCCCCCCCCGGCCCCCCCGCCATCACTCTGCTGTGTCCCATCATCTGGGCCACGTGACACCCCCCGTCCCCTGACCGGGGGCCCCGCGGGGAGGCTGCCCTGGGTCGGGCAGCCCCTGAGCACCTGACCCGAGCCCCAGGGTCCCTGCCTGGGACCGGGACCCCCTTAGGGGACAGGGAGACAGGACCCTTGTGGGGACGTGGGACGCAGGCTGCTGGTCGGGGTCCTGTGGCACGAGGCTGCGGTGGTCTGTGGAGGCCGTCACGCCCCCCACTTTTCTGCCTCCGTTGCTTTAAGGGTGGCACTTTCCCCGCCCCAGAGCCCTGTCTTGAGACCATCATTTCACGCTTTGTGGCCGTGAGCGTGTCCAGCCTGACCGGGAATCAGGGTCAGGGTTAGGGTTAGGGGCGTGCATCCCACCCCACCTCTGGCCTCCCAGGGGCTCCACGGCCCTGTGACACTTCCGTTTCCGCCACTTGTCACCATGCAGTTAGGCAGCACCTGCTGTATACGTGGCGCGGTGCCAGTCAGTGTTGGGGAAACAGGCGGCTGGGGCTCAGGGCCAAACTGCTGCCCAGCGCAGGCCGTGCCCTTGGCCAGCAGTGCTCAGGGCACCGGCCATGCCCAGCGCGGGGTGGGGTCCCCACCAGGAACACAGAGGAAGGATGGTGCCTCCCCGAGAGGCCCCCTGTGGCAGGCGTCGACCGAAGTCTGGTGTTATGTCCTCGAGAAAGGGTGCTGGCCTGAGCCAGAAGAGGGACAAGGACAGGGGTCTGTGATGTGCACTGCACCCCCGAGGCCGGCCTGGGGGGGCGTGTCCGGGGCCCGTTCATTCCCGACCAGGACCCTTGGTGTCCGCAGGGCTGACGCTGTCTCCTCTCTGTTCCTCAGGTCTCCTGACAAACGCAGCCCCAGAGGGGCCCCGGGAGCGGCCTCGGCTCCCTGGAGCGTCCACACCTCGGCCACGGTCCTCTGCCTGCCGGGGCCGTCACCGGCTCTCTGCCATCCGCCCACCCTCCGTCTCTGCAGCCGGCCAAGGACAGCCCGCTTCCCCGGCGCCGAGCTGAGCGAGCACCGCAGCGAGGAGCCCGGCCCGGCACACGGCGGGGACGCAGGGCCAGCGCGGGAGGAAGGGCAGCGCCGGGCCCGGGACAGGACTGGCTTCTCCTTGCGCCCCAGACTGTCCGAATCGCTTTTATTTTCTTACCCTTTCAGTATATACTCAATAGACCAAAGAGCAAATCTATTTTAACGTGCACTCGCCCTCGCTGTCAGAGTCCCTGGGCTCGACTCGGGGACACGCGGGCAGAGACATGCCGGCGGCCCCGGCGGGGCCCGGAGGGCGGCCCTGGCGGAGGCGTCCGCCCCACGGACCCTGCGGGGCGCCCTGAGAGGGCCGGGCCGGCGATGCCCCCACGCGGACCCCGCGGGCGCATGGACCGCGTTGCGCGCCCCGCTCCTCTGCGCGTAGACGGACCTGACCGACTAAAATCACCTTCCGTTTTAACCAGTTACACACGCCTCTCTCCAGCTCATCTCTGGTAGTGGGGTACCCAGTATTCGCCAAGAGCATGTTGGGTCTCTCGTGGCCGCTGTCTCCTCCCACACACCATTTAGCTCCAGAAAGCAAATTAAAGAAAACTCAAGTAACACTTGTTTGAAAGAGATCATTAAATGTATTTTGCAAAGCCTAAAGTTATATATTTAACAGTTTTTATATGCTGTATATTTGTAGAAAATCCTATTTCACAGTGAAGGTGGTAACCCTGGCCGACCCAAGGGGGCGGAGCGCCACTGTCTCGGGGGCCCCCGGGGCGCAGGGCGCGGGGGCAGGACTCTGGGGACGGTGGCCAAGGACGCGCCCACGTTGTGGGAGCCGGGTGGCCCAGGCGCCCCTGCAGCGTCTCCGTGAGCGCAGGGTGCGCGACTCGTCGGGCACGCCTCTTCTGACGGTCACATGTCCCTTGTCGCCCGCGCCCCCCCCCCCCGACATGGCCGGTCAGGAGGGGGCTCTGCAGCCGAGCCCGCCCCCAGGCCGCGCCCCGCCTGCCAGACCGAGCAGACGCCGGGGCCACCGCGCCAAGGGATGCCGGCACCCCACCCCCCCACCCGCCCGCGCCCTCGCTGCCGCGCCAGGTCGCCAGGCCCAGTGGGCGGGGGCGGCCGCGCCCCTGGGTCCCCGGCCGTCGTCCGCCGGGCTCCTCCGTTCTCCTGAGTTTCCGCTGAACTATACTACCTGACAGTCCAATTAACAGGTGTACTATGCTAGTTCTATGCTACTAAAAAAAATTAAAAGAAGAAAAAGTAAAAACATATATATAGAGAAGCTGTTCGGCAACCCATAGACTACAGATAGCAGAGATCCGTTTCATTTCAGACCCGTTTCGACGTCCATGAGCATTGAGTTTACCTTTCGGTCACGACACACTTAGAGGTTCGCGTGTCTGGAGGGAAGGACGCGGCCGGGCCTCGGTTTCTGGCCAGAGCAGAGGGGGCACCGCGGAGGGTCCCGCCTTCTCACCGCCCACCTCCCTGCCGCTGCCCGGCTCCCATTTCCTCCCACAGCCAGTGTAGACCCCTTCAAAGGCAGAGACTGGAGGTTTAAGACGTTACAGCGGTTTTTTTTCCCTCTTGTTTTACAGTATTCGATTTTGTGTTGATTCAGCTAAATTATGAAAATAAAGAAAAGCTCCTTTGGTAAGCATGGCTTTTGTTTGCTGGCCGTGGTGTCCTGGGAGGGGCAGCAGCAGGTGCCTGGTGACGGGGACCTCCTGGCGGGGCCTGAGCCCGGCCCCCCCGCAGCAGCTACTCGGGGGCCTCCGTCACCCTGTGTGCATAGCCCCCCCCGGAGAGGTCAGGTCCTGCACACAGAGGAACAGAGCCCCCACAGCAGGCCAATGTCCAAGGGACCCCCTTTCCAGAGAAATCCGCTCAGACCTGCAGACTGGTCTTCGGCGCTGAGAACGTTCCTGAGCTGCCCGGAGTCCTCCCTGATGCCAGGAAGCCCCGCCTGCCCTTTCCCAGCTGCTCTCAGACAGGAGCCCCGGGCAGCGCGGCTGGTGGCTCAGCTGGGGGCTGTCTGCAGTGTGAGCGTGACTGTAAGGAGACCTCCCTGGCCTGGGGGGCCGTTGCAGTGGGGAGCACAGAGCAGGGCTAGACCTGGCGGGGAGGAAAGGGGGCAGAATGCAGGCCCAGCAGCGGCCACTGGCACCGCCGGGCGGTGGGGTGGGGTGGGGGAGAAGCCTGGGGTTCTGCATTCCGGGCACAAACAGGGCAGGACAGGGTCCCCACGTCTTCCTCTGTCCAAGCTGAGGAAGGATCAGCCGGAAGGCACAGGACTGGGCAGTGTGGGCTCAGGAGTGGGCAGGGAGGAAACGCGGCTCAAGCAGGAGCTCCCGGAGGCTCACCGCCCGAGAGCCCCTCCCCCACGCAGTCTGTCCCAGTGTCTCCTGGGAACGTGGCAGGGAGATCCCCAAACCAGGAAGCTGGAGGAAAGGATCGAGACGCTTCGCGGCCACGAGGGCTCGTAAGAATAAGGATGGTCGTCTCCAGAGAACCAGTATCAGTCAGTACGGGCTGGGTCATGTCTCGGTAACAAACAGTCCGGCCTCTCGGAGCCTGACACTCAAGTAAACGTGGACCTGCCCTCATACCGCAAGCCAGTGCACCTGGTGCCAGGGCTCCGGGGAGGCTTCACCCGGCCCTGTGATCGGAGGAGACCCGGGAGCACCGGCCTGGCGGGAAAGGTGTCCACGCGGAAGTAGCCCATCTCCTCCGCTCTCTCTGGCTGGCCTGCCCTTGGCTGACGTGAGCTGTCTGGCCTCAGTTTCCTCACCGAGAACCGGCCCAGTCATCACAGCTGCCGGCTTCCAGGCTGCGAAAGGGCCTCTCTGGCTCCAAAGCCCCAAAGCGCGAGCAAGATGCGTGAGGCCCACCTCCCTGCCGTGGGGACGGCCACGCGTGGTCTGCGCAGTGAGCGCTGCAGCCGTGCTGCCCCATCCCTGCCGGGCTGTGAGTGGAGGTGGCGAGGGGCGCGGAGGCTGCCGCAGGAGGGAGGCCGCGGACAGCCCTCTGCACGCACGCCGGCCACTCCCCAGCCCCGCCAGGGCGGCTTGTCTGAGCGTCGGCGGTGGGGCCTCAGGAGAGGCCGTGACGCAGCTGCGTGGGGTAAGCAGGTCACACCTCCTCTCTGCCTTGGTTTCCCCGTTGGCGGGATCCGGAGAATCGTGCAGCGCTCACTGCGCGTTCCTAAGGATAAAGGGAAGCGCGCACACGGGCCATCTCTGAATGGCAGGACTGGCGCCCCCACTGGCCCGCCGCCGCCCGTCTCGCCGAACCCCGTCCTGCAGCCTCTTACCGGGGCGACATGCGCCTGGGCTGCAGGCGAGCGGAGCGCACAGCTGCCCGCCTGCCGGGATCAGGTGAGGCTCCACGGTTGGACCATGGCCACCCTGACACCCCCCTGTCCCCGGCTGGCTCCTGGGCCGGGTTGGGGCCAACCGTGGGCAAGCTCCGTGTCCCGGGGGCAGGGAGGGACGTCCCGCCTCGGTGGCGCGTGTGTGCCTCTGTGCGCGCGCGCAGGTGTGATGTTTCCGCCATTGCCCTCTCGTGCTGAGCACCTTGTGAGCCAGGTTCCGAGGAGGAGATCTGCACGGTTCTTGGCCTCCAGGACCCCCAAGGGCAGGGACCCCAAGGGCACACTCAGAGGCATCCATCCGGAGGGCTGTGGGGGTGGGCTCACCCTCCGTGGGTGAGGACCTCGGGCTGTCTCCATGGGCACTGCCAGCCCGCCAGGGGCCTCCCCTCCCCCTCCCCCCGCATGGCTGCATCCCCTCCTGCCAGGCATCTCCGGGCCACAGTCACGCATCAGGCTGGCCTTCAGGAGGTGACCTCTCTGCTACCCTTGTCCTGAGCCGCCTTCACCCCGACCGGCCGGTGCCCGTGGAGAGTGCGCTTCTCTGGGAAAGACCCCGAGATTCCCAGGTGCTGGGCTCACGGAGAAGCATGGCGGGGGGGGGGGGGGGC